AGCTGGCTGCCATCTCTAGTGATAAGTTGGGGAAAAGTATCAGGAACTATTTTCCTTTACCCCTGATTGAGAGCTTTGATCTTTTAAGGGGCCAGAGTTGGTCCAAATTCAGCTGTCCCTCTGGGGCACTGGGCATAAGACTGAAATACCCCAACTCCTCTCCCCTGCTGGCCATCTTGTGTCCACATGGGGGCGGCAATCTTTGACCATATGGGGGTAGCCATCTTGTGTGTTGGGGTGATAGTCAATTTGCATATTACCTCTTTATTAGATAGGATACTATTTGTTCAAAATTCTGAATGTGTATTCCTATAGGATAATATAATGCACTATAGTTGGCAAAAGCCACTTATGACTTTATATGAATACTAGAGGCTGGATGCACGAAGATTCATGCAAGAATGGGCCTTCCTTCCCCTGGCTGCCGGCACCACCTTTGCTCCAGCCAGAGCCGCCTTTCAGCCTTCCCACACTGCCCAGAGGCCCAGGGCGGCTGGGGTAGTGTGTAAAGCCTGTGTCGTCGCCATGGCGATGACCCAAGTGTCCCGTCCCGCCCCGCCCCGCCCCCCGGCGCCTGTGTATGCAAATTAACCTGTCATTTTTGTTGGGTTAATTTGCATGATCACTCCTGATTGGCTGGTGGGTGTTGAGAAGGTACGATCAATTTGCATCTTTTTCTTTTATTAGTGTAGATCTTTATGGAAAAATAGGTCTTGGGTTCTAACTTAGGATGCCAAGAAAGCATTTGCCCCAAGTCAATGTTGCTTCTAGACTCTTGATTTCCATCTCAGTCCTCACTGTCCGCTTAGCTCCACAATGGGACCCTATTAGCACAGGAAAAACCAAGGATCACTAGATCTCCAGATTACTTTTGTTTCTATCTATACTTATCAGAAGAAAAACAACAAAGGTGATTTTTACATGAATCCATTTCTGCTGACTTCAAATTGTGTGTACCTGACTTGAATATTGCCCTTTCCTCCGAATATTGTCCCAACCTCTCTCAAATCTTATCCTGACACTCCAGAACACACACAGCCACCCTTAACTCCACCCTACCCCACACCCTGCCCTCTGTGGTTCTGTGCTGGAGCTTTGTGAATCCCTCAGTACAATTCAGATTTCTGCAGCAGTCAGAAGCCTCAGGAAATGCTTTATAGAAGGATTTACAGGCACTTACCACCTACATTAACCTGCCTACAAATGTCACTCTAAACACCCAGATTCTTTACCACTTATACCTCTGTTCTCCAAAAAACACTAAATAGTGAAAGTGTATTCAGGAGTGTCAAGTTCATCTATAAAATACTCACACTGAAATGTCATTTGATGATTTAATAAAAATATGAAAGCACTTTATAGAACATTACATATTTTTTAAGAAGCTCAAATTTAAAACTAATTTAAACTCATCTATCAACTCATATCAATGCCAAATGTTAAATGTCTCTACCCCTTTTCTCCTAATTTCCTCCTCTTGCATAAGTGTTCTAGTCCCAAGTACACAATAATGATTGCTTAATCCACAACTGCCACAGGAGGACCAGACATCACCTAGATACAGGAAATACTAAATACGTCCTATGAGCTGCTCCCTTCAGACTTTCTGACTATTCATTCAACATTAATCATTCACTACCTTTTCTAGCCATTCTTCCTACAAGAATAACACTGACAGTAACAAGCATTCAATAAGTATCTACTTTACATAGACATTCTTTTTCATAGTCACATAAGTATCTCACTTTAAAACAGGACACCTGTAGCTGAGAGGTGAGGAATCAAGATGCCCACAGCCTTGGAACTCAGCCTCTCATCTGTCTCACCAGCATCTACTGGACATCCCTGTGCCTGGAGTAAAACAAGGACACCACAATCTGTCTCCATCATGTCTTCCTTAACTAAAGTAAAGTAATACATGGTATCAAGTGTACCTCCTTCCAACACCTCAAAACCCCCTCTCCAAGAGTAACCCTAAATTACATCCAATCATTTCACTATCCAGACTCAACAACTTTTCATGAATTAAGTCATTCAATCAAATACTTGCCCACTGCAGGTACAAGAGTGAAGGTGACAGGTGAGATCCTGGCTCCCCCAACGTTGAAATAATTAGGGGTGGAAGTGGTGTGAGAATTAAAGTTAGGTGGCATGATGTTGGCCTGGTGGGCTGATATAGATGAAAGACCGGAGAAGTGACAGTGAAACCTAGATCTCAGACACTGGAATAGCTCAAGGATAGCCAGTCAGGGAGGGAGAGCTCTAGGCCCACAGCCAGTGCAGAGGCCTTAGGGCTGGAGCCAGTGTGACACACTCCAGGCAGGAATGAAGCCAGGGCCTGGAGAGTGGGGGCAGAGGGCAATGGGAGTCAGACTATGGGGACGCAGGTGGGCAGTAGATGAGATGGGAAAGCATGGACCAATACATTTTTAAACATTACTCTGGCTACAGGGAAGAAAATGAATAATGGCGGGGGCTGAGGGAAAGCAACAGGAGAGTGAGCCCTGTTCCATAAGGAGGCCTCTGTGACAAACACCGTCCCAACAGGAAAATGAGCCAGCAGAGGATATGGCCTGTCCCCGCTGCCCCCACCCTCCTTGGTCCCGCAGCATCAGGACCATCCATACTCACTTGTCCATCACCCACCCATAGAGACAGCCATCAGCAGCTAGCACTTGCCTTTTATCTCTGTGCCCAAATTACATAGCACACAGTACTAACGCTGTGCTTAAAGGAGCAAATGAACATAAAGGACAAGTATTAGGGACATTTTCAACCCTGGGATCAATCTTCTGAAACCAGTAAAAAGTCTTATTCCTCTGACAGTGTCAGGAACATGCCATCTCTTGTATATGCAGTGAGCACACTGGAGCAACAATCGGCAGCATAATTTCCCAAAGCTTTACTGCTCTGCACCCCAAGAAAGGCAATCTGACTCTGGGAGGAGACTATTACTTTACAACCTCTCAGGAGATAGTCACGCCAAGCAGGCTTCAGGCAAACAGTTTATAACTGTGTTTATCCCCCAATTTTAAATCATTGAGTTAAATTTTGTCTTTTGAAAGAAAAAAAAAAAGAAAAGAAATGAAAAGAAAAAAGACAACAAAAGAGGAGACACACATCCATGCACTCGTGAAAGCATCAGGTCTTCTATGTCCTCAATGCACTCTGCAAGAGGACACTTAGGGGACAGAGACTCTAGCATCACCACCATCTACAACCTTGGTCCTCGTGGCCCTACTTTTCTCCTCCACTTCCATATGTCTCTGGGTTTCCTCTTGCTCCTCAGTACTTTCAGGGATTACTACTGAGTCTGCCCAGGAAGCTCGGCTACATTTATTTATATAACTGCAGAGATCTCCTCTCAAAAGAAGCCTATAAGGTTATCAGGTAAATATTTAAATCTCCTTGGTTACTGCATGGTCAGCATCCATCATAAAGGCCTTGATTTACTTACCTAAGTAGTGTGGTGGGTGAAATGCCACAGGCTTACTAGTCGCTGAATAATATGCAATTGCTCTCTTGAATCGAAAAACTTTGTCATCTGTTCTAGACTAAAATAAACATAGAAAACCTGTGTAAATTAGCATGCCATGGGTCATATGTTTCAACATATTTTTATAATTCAGTACATGTATAAAATATCTGTAGCCTCTCAAGCTAGATAAGAGTTTAGAATGACATTAAAATCTTCAAGGAAAATCCAGAGAGCAAGGCAGTTAACACAGAACCTGAAGTGGCCATCAGAGCCCTGGGTTCTGCGATATAGCCTTTAACTTCTTGGTCAAGTCCCTGGTGCTGCCAGAAGTTTTACTTTCCATGTCCAGCAAGTGGGGCAGCTGTTTTAGATCTTCAGGGAGCAGACAGAAGTCACACAAACTTCAACTCTTTTACTAACCCCGATGCCTCAAATTCTTTACTTCCCACAAAAGGAAGACAAAACCCCTGACCATCACCTGAAGGGAAGGACAAATCAGAGATTCACAATTCCACTTGACCCACTTGATATGTCTGTCTTCTTAGTAGAAATCCTATCAAGTTATGATGGAGACTCTAGAAGCAACAGAGACCTCAACACTCATCTCCCTCAATCCCTCTCCAGTACAGGCCAGAGGAGCCAGCTGGGAGGGCTGGCATGGAGGCCTGACAGCCGGGCCAGTGCTCCTGGACACACCAGTGTGTGCTTCTCAAGCCCCTTCCAAACCTGGCGCACACCACTGTGCAAACCGCTGCCCCAGAGCCTGCATTTCTACCTGAGAATGCTGGAAAACATCTTTAGCTATGGCATCCAAGTCCAAGGTGTCCTGGATGTTGCGGACGTAGTCAGCCACAGCCTTGATCACCACGTCACATGGCGGCAAGACCAGCTGGTGGGCCCGGACCTGAGAAAACAAGCACAAATGTCAACGGTCTAATTCCAAACACAGGGTCCAGAAACCCCAGGTGTTGTTTTCTGTCAAGGACCGAATTGTTCCCAATCTGTGAGCACTTGGCCCCAAGACTCTGGTACTCTGAGGTTCAAGCCCTGGATCTCCCTTACAGTTATTGAAATACAGCCCAGTTAGGTTAAGCAGCATCTGACAGCCTTTCATTACTTCTGAGACCAGGTCTGCGACCTGCTTATGATCAGTTCCAGGCTTGAGACCCTGAGCCCCGTAACAGCCAGCACACAACCATGAGAACCCCTGGGCCACAGATGCTTCCTTTCTTTCAATGCCAGCCAGCAGAAGGCTGTGCCAGGCAACAGCCCCAACCGCCCAAGTCCACTGCAGAAAGACGAGGGAGGAAGCCAGTATCCCTTCCTGCTGAGGGACATATCTGATAAAAGACTTTTGGAATAAAGTATAGGAGTATTTTATTGTCTCAGAATAGTTGATACCAGGAAAAGGTAAGTAAACAGATATATAATTATAGCTATGCCCATGTGTTGTTCTCAGGAACAAAGACGAATCAGGTACTAACTTTATTTCCAGAAATTAAAAAAAAAAAAAAATTGAATGACAGCACAAAATGATGTCTTTGTTTTCCATTTCATCATGAAGAGCATAAAGATAAAGAAGGGGCAAAGGATCTAAAGGCTTTGGGCCTAACCCAAGAGGAAGGAACACTTGCAAACTCTTTTGATGAGGCCAGAATTATCCTAATTGCAAAACCAGATAAGACACTACAAAGAAAGAGAATTACAAGCCAATATCCTTGATGATAAAATCCTAAACAAAATATTAGCAAATCGCATCCAGCGATATATTAAAAAATTATACACCATGACCAAGTGGGTTATGTTCCTGGGATGCAAGGCTGGTACAATATTCACAAATCAATAAACGTGATACATCACATAAACAAACTGAAAGACAAAAATCACATGGTCATATTAATAGTTACAGAAAAGGCATTTGACAAAATCCAACACACATTTTTGATAAAAATTCTCAGCAAAGTGGGAATAGAGGGAGCATATCTCAACATGATAAAGGCCATATATGACAAACCTACAGTGAACATCCTACTCAATGGGCAAAAACTAAAACCATTTCCCCCAAGAACAGGAACAAGACAGGGATGTCCACTTTCACCAAACTTATTCAACATACTACTGGAAGTCCTAGCCACAGCGATCAGACCAGAAGAAAAAACTACTAGATTTAATAAATGAATTTGGCAATGTAGCAGGATACAAAATCAACACCCAAAAATCGATGGCTTTTTTATACACCAATTAGAGGTCTGGTGCTCAGATTAGTGCACCGGTGGAGTCCCTCAGCCTGGCCTGCAGGGATCGGCCCAAACCGGCTCTCCAACATCCCCGGAAGGGTCCTGGATTGCGAGAGGGCAGTTCTCATGTGACGCACCCCAGAATCGGGCTCCCTCCTCTGTGGTTCCAGGTGTGTCACCCGAGAACCGCAGCTGCCAAGTCACCACAGCAAAAAGAGAGACCTCTGTATTGGAGAACATATTTGGAAATGATACATCTGATAAAGGGTTAATATCCAAAAAATATAAGGAACTCATACAACTTCACAAAAGGCAGACAAACAATCCAATTAAAAAATGGGCAAAGGACCTAAATAGACACGTCTTCAAAGAGGACATACAGAAGGCCAAGAGACATATGAAAAAATGTTCAAAGTCACTAATCTTCCAAGAGATGCAAATCAAAATGACAATGAGGTACCATCTCACACCTGTCAGAATGGCTACCATCAACAAATCAACAAATGACAAGTGCTGGTGAGGATGTGGAGAAAAGGGAACCCTAGTACACTGCTGGTGGGAATGCAGACTGGTGCAGCTATTATGGAAAAACAGTATGGAGTTTCCTCAAAAAATTAAATATGGATCTGCCATTTGACCCAGTGATCCCACTTCTAGGAATATATCCTAAGAAACCCAAAGCACCAATCAGAAAGAATGTATGCAGCCCTATGTTCATAGCAGGGCAATTTACAATAGCTAAAATCTGGAAACAGCCCAAGTGCCCATCAGTAGATGAGTAGATAAAAAAGCTGTGGTACATTTATACCATGGAATATTATGCAGCAGTAAAAAAGAAGAATCTCTTACCCTTTGAGACAGCATGGAGGGACCCGGAGAGTATCATGCTAAGTGAAATAAGTGAGTCAGAGAAAGACAAGTATCACATGATCGCACTCATATGTGGAATCAAAGTAACAAAATAAACTGGTGAACAGAGTGGATCCAGAGACATGGAAGCATGGAACAGAGTGGAGAATCTCAGAGGAAAGGTGGGAGGTAATGAACCGAAGACCTTGAATGCATACGTGCATAACCCATGGACACAGACAGTAGGGTGCTGACGGCCTGGGGCGGGGGAAGGGGAACAGGGGTGGGCGGGAGAGGATCAAGGGGAGGAAAAAGGGAGACATATGTAATAATTTCAACAATAAAGAATTATTTTTAAAAAATTTTAGGACATATCATAACAAAGAAATAAATACATAAAATAAAGGTTTTGGCCGAACCGGTTTGGCTCAGTGGATAGAGCGTCGGCCTGCGGACTCAAGGGTCCCGGGTTCGATTCCGGTCAAGGGCATGTACCTTGGTTGCGGGCACATCCCTACTGGGGGCTGTGCAGGAGGCAGCTGATCGATCTCTCTCATCGATGTTTCTAACTCTCTATCCCTCTCCCTTCTTCTCTGTAAAAATTCAATAAAATATATTAAAAAAAAAAATTTAAAAAAATAAATAAATAAATAAAGGCTTTGGGTCTCCAGAGCTGTGCACTCCTGCCACTCCCGTGTGAATGTGGTGTGTTCCATGGCAGCCAGCTGACCTCAGGCCCAGCCTGTTACCCTGAATTGCTCAGATGGGCTCAACGGCTTCACAGAGTCCTGAGGACTCCACCCGTGCTGCTTGTTTTGACAGTGGAAGAAGGGCCACAGTGTGCGGTGGCCTCTGGAAGCCAGAAAAGGCAGGAAACACTCTCCCTGAGCCTCCGAGGGAATGTGGCCACCGGCACCTTGACTTTACCTCAGTGAGACCCGTTTTGGACTTGTGACTTGTATGGTAGAACTGTGACCTATAGAAATTTGGGTTGTTTTAAGACACCAAAAGGAAAAGGGAGGGGGAAGAAAATTAGAAAAACTCAGCCTAATCAAATGGAATAGAAGAAACCTCTGGGAAAATACATATTTACACTTTTAAGTTATTATTATGCAAATTTTCAGATGCACAGAGTACATTCAATTTCCTTTTCTTAAAAAGCAATAATTCCGACTGGAAACAATGTTTCACATGTTGGAGCAGCTGCTCTACTCTCTCAGGAAGGCAAACCCCACAGAATGGACTGCAGAGGGCCACTGCCATGCCTGTGGGCCAGAAGCCTTCCCAGAAACCCAAGTCCTCCCATGCCAAGGAGAAAAACCTCTGGCACACACCTGCCCACGGGGAGGACGTCCCTGGAACAGCGCATTCCAGCCAGTCTGGAAGGCACGAAGTTCTAACCGCTCCCACCTTCAGAGTATTTAACAGTTCAGCAGCAGGGCAGGTAGGAGAGCCTGGTGGCAGCCCCAGGAGTGGGGAGTCAGGACGGAAACCCTGAGTGGCCTACACTCTGCAGAACTTGGCATTTCCCCCTCACTGAGTGCACACCATGGGGACAGAGACAGGGACAGGGACTGCAGGGGGGCTAAGTGCCCTTGCATGCCTGGTGGCTCTGAAAACCTAGGATCACCTAATCATGCTGTAGATGATACTGGAATGGCTGGTCATTCTAGAAAGGTTTTACATACAGAACAAAAACATGACAATTAACATGGTAACAACAGAATCTGCTAGATATAAAAAGGCCAAAATATGAAAAGGCCTTCCTCTGGTGGGGGAGCTATTGAGGTGACACAAGCTGACTCTCCTAGGGGTGTTCTGACACCAGGACACCATGGACTCATGGGCAGCCCCTCGCTGTCCCACCGACCTCAAATGAAAATGACAGTGTTGCTTTTGTTCCTGCAGATATCCTTGTCTTCACTACCCACATCCCATAACACTGTGGCTAAAAGATCCTTGAGGTGAACAGATCCTATAATTAAAGAGCCCCCAAATCCTTCTGAGTGTTTAAGACCACCGTAAACCTGCGTCCTTTACAATGTCCCCATGGCCCAGACTCTTCCCTCATGCCCACTTACCCCTCACCCTTCCTGCTTCATCCTAACATAGCCTTCCAAATCTGACTCAGGGTGAACTCCAGTATTTCCTTACTCAGGGCAGACCCTGATGGTGATAACATAGTGGCCCCTGTCCCCCCTCCCCCCACCCCCCGACCTCAATCGGCCCCAGGAAAGCGGAAGTGACGGCATGCAGTACCACAGGCAGACTTGGAAGGCTTCACTGCACACGAGACGCTTTAGCTTAGAAGAAAGAGCACATGAGATGACTTCTAAAATTCAGATGGTACTAAGCTTTACCACGACTGACCATAGAATTCCATTTAGTAGTAAGATTCCTGGTACATTTTAATATAGATATGTTTACAAACACCCAATTTATTAAAATTTTGACACTCCTAACTTTTAATTTGTATTTTCTTTAAACACCATGCCATGGTGTGTGTGAGGGAAATCACGAATTCCTGTTAGAAAACCGAGTGTCATCAGAACCAACTCAGTGGGGAAAGAAAAAACCCTAAAAATCTTGGCCACCTTAAATATGTCTCTCTATATCCATCTACACACACACACACACACACACACCCTATACGTGAGGGTATTCATCTACACACTTTTGACTGGAAATAACCACATTGAGACATGTTGACCCACAAAAAGGGCTACCACCTTATGTTGCTAAATCTTCCCAGACACTGGAGAATAGCATTGGCCTTATCCCGTTATAGCAGTAACTGCACATGAGAGTTACAGTAATC